GGACTTTGTCAAATTAAAATTTTCTAGCAATACACGGTATTGAAATTTTCAAGCCAATGAGTTTGGTTCTTTCTTTGAATTTCAGTGTTTGGGCGGTCCCAGAACATGCATAGAAACATACATTTCATCTTTACTACCTATAAGGTTCCACCTATACTGTTTTCTAAATCTCAAATCTAATAAGCATTTGAGGAACGAAAGAAATGATGATCATCCGAACATCACCTATATTTGCTTCCTTAGTACTGCTAATGATTGAATCAGCAGTAGGCTATGGTCTGTTGAGGGATGGTTGTCAAGAGCGTTGTGGGAAATTCAGCATTCCATACCCCTTTGGGAATCGGAACAGGTTGCTACATGAATAACGGTTTGAGGTCTCCTGCGATACCGCTTCCAGTCCTCTAGAACTTTACTAAACAGCATAAAAGTTGAGGCACTGTATTTCTCTCTTGTTCCCAGCTTTGTTGGCATCAAACTACCCACAACCTCCAGGCAGTGTTCTAGAACCTCGGAACATTTGGATTTTTCTCGAAGTCCTTTTATGTCCGTCAGGAGCACGTCCCCCATGGAGGAATATGTTCCAGCCGCGCTAGAATGGGCGATTACTGATAAGGATGTATCAAAATTACCATATACAGATGAGAGTGCATTTAATTGTTCCCAGTTCAATGGTAGTAATGATACTATTTGTAATTGTTTGGGCAGTTTCGTGATCCAACACTGTTGATATCTTTAGATGCTTCCACACTTGAAATTCCGGAGGATGTTTTCTCGGAGAAAACACTCCGACGCTCAAGTTAGCAATACTCAATATTCTAGAAAGAGATGCTCTAAAAGAGTAATTGTAGAAAGAGAAGCGTAGAAGTTAATACCTTGCATGGAGGTAATTGAGGGGTATTTATAGCCTCATATACTGACATGAGTTCAGACATGTGTTCATCCAATTGGTCCACGTGTTACTGCCCACATGGGTGTGTCTCCTCATCTTGAGCCTGTGGATGTATAACTGGCCTGCTGCATGTGGCCCGCAACGAGTGTTGGGCCTAATCCCAACATTACTCCCCCTTCAATGTTTAGTTGACGAACTGGGTTGAGAGTCCCATTAACACAGTGTTTGACCCTGGGGATGAGGAGTGACGTGTTATGGTTTACGACCGACCTCATGCATGGCCGATCTGGGTGACTTGAGGCCAGTGTGGCCTGGTCTGACGCGTATGTATATGCTATCTTCTTACCGAGCATGCATGGGGAAGCTGGTGTCAAAACCAGTGTGAGCTCGGTACTAATCAACGAGCTAAGCAAGTGAGCAAAGGCGATCTCGCATAATGGATTTCCTATGGCAGACCGAAGACGAGGATACGGTGGACGAGCTGGGCCATTCCAACCTGTGAAGATTGTACCTATTGAGGTCGGCCTAACATTAAGAGAACAAACCAAAACCACACTGATGGAGTGTGAATATCAAGACGAACTGAAATGAGTGACCCCAATCGTCACTACAATATAGATCTTCGGGATATGGAGCAAATTTGAGTGAATTGGTAACGATCTAATGTTTGATACTCAGAACTGAGGTGAATCTTTGATTTGTTACGAGCCGATCCCTGAGATTTTAAATTGTGGCAAATCTCTGAGGAGATCTCGGATTCGTTACGAGCTGATCCTTGAGATTTTTCAAATCTTAAATTGGGGCGAATCTCTAAAGAGATTTGCTAAGGGCATTTGGTATTATTCTGCCAACTGCAGATATCCTTCTCCCTTTCCACAATAAATGCTAGCTCAGTATTTGAGGGGACGTGACAGCTGCAGGCGGCGAGTTTTGGGCGCTTAACCATAAATGACTGCCACGTGGACGCGTTTAACTAGGGGGCCATAAACACGCATACAGCATTCCAGGAGCACTATCTGAAGGACAAGAAACAAAAGTGGTTACTCAGCCATTCCTTGTTCCATTACACAGTATGTTAGTATTTTCTTCAGAGAAGGTTGCAGAGATGCTCCAGGCTATTCCTTAGAATTTTCAACGAAAGGACAACTGGTTTCAGATACTCAGGTAAAAATGGCTTCTTTTCATGATGTAAGAGAGCTTTGGGGTAACCAGGGTGGGGAAGACAAAGTGGATGTGATATCATTGGAGCCCATCACCATGATAGTGCCGCCAGAGTTGCAGGATTTGCCTAGAACCATCACGTCGAAGAGTAGCGCTAGTTCGAGTGCGGGTGGTGGTTCTGGTGACCATCGTTCTTCGACTTCTTCCAGCGATTCGTCTGCAGAAGAGACACCTAGTGAAGTGGGGGGTGTTGAAGAGGGTGGTTGTAGTGCATTGGCGATAAGGACGGAGGTGGAGTGGTTGTGTTTGAAGGATGGGAGGGCAAGGTTATCAACGAGAGACTGGATAATCTTCGCAAGGCCTCCTAAACCCTACCTGCTGGCTTTAGGTTCAGGGCGACAATGCATCACGAAGTTGTAGACGGCGCAGCCATGGTGAAGAGGTATAAAATATTGGAGAAGATGGTGAGACGATATCAGATCCCCAGAACTATCCTGATCCGAGCTAGGACACCAAATGAACAGGCCTGCACAATATCAAGGACGGGATGGGGATGTCCTAGCAAACCATTTTGACGCTGGTCTACGTTTTGCTCTACTCGGACTAATTTTTGATGTCCTAGAAAAGTATGAGTTGGCCCTAACGTAGCTAACTCCCAATAGCATAAAGTTTATAAACTTTATGCTGTTGTGTGAGAGGTTGGGGATGCCCCCGAAGGCAGTGGTCTTCAGGTCGCTCTTCTTGTGCCGTCTGTGCCCCTCCACCAGTGGAATGAGATGGTACTACATCTCCGAGAGAGAAAAGATGATGATATTCACCAACATCAAAAATAAGGTGGCAAGGTGGAAGAGACAGTTTATCTTCATTCACGATACGCAAACTGAAAGGATGAATAACGAGCTCGCTGCCTGTCTATCAAAGTGGCGTACACCAAACGCCTATATGAACTACCCTCAGCTGACTGTTGGTGATGTCGACCTGAAAAACCAGCTGCTAGATCATGTTAAGGCAAGGGGTTTAGTGGACTTTGAAGCCCTTGTTACCCCGGAACAGCTCGCGTTACTTGGGTTTGTCGATGTGGCAAACCTACATGCTGAAAGTATATTTCTATAGCATACTAGAATTTCTAGCTGATCTGAGTCTTATGCCTTTGTTTGTGCAGGAGAAATGAGCAGCATTCTAGAGAGGTAGCATCAATGAGCATAAGGCTCGAGGAACCATGGAGTTGGGTCCGATTCCCAATGTCAAACTCGCTTTGACGAGCGGCCACCTACTGCACCGGGGCGCAGTTCGTCCCACAGAAGTTCGAGCTTGGCACCAAGACAACGTGCCGAGCAAAGAGTTGAAACTACGCCCTCAAGTTTAAGAAGGTGCGCGCGGAGGACTCTGACGCTGAGGATGATATTCCCCTCATCTGGCGAAGGACGAGCACAGGATCTCAGCCCATTTCAGCCACTGCTGCGTAGCTACCAACATGCCCTCGACGCCGGCACGTGAGGTTGCTGAACCAGTGCTTGCCTCGTCATCTATATCGAGGCCAAGAATTGCATATCCGGAAGGCTTCAATTACGTCAAAACTGACTGCCAGGCTGCCATGGTGCAGGGTATGCAGAGCTTTAAACCCCCTGCAGATCGACAACGTGCGAAGGGGCACGTCCAGCAGCATGGAGGTCATGCTGCTTTGCTGAAGCTGATAGATGTAAGTATATTCAACAAGCACATTGTTTTGTACTCTACAATTTTGTGTTATAAACTAACGATTGAATTTGTGGCAGGCGTTCAGCTACATAGTAGCACTCTTTGAGTGCGAGTAAGGGGTGCGAGTAAGGGGTGCGGGTGCAGAACCGCGAGCTCCAACAAAACTGCAAACAACTAGCCTTTGAGAAAGCCAGTTTGTCTGACGAGGTCGTCGTTTGCAGAGCTCGGAAATGGCAAACTGAGTAGCGTCAGCTGAGAGCCGAGCTAATGAGTTGGCCCATAAGGTCAACGAGCTGAGGGAAGAGCTTGAAAAAGCTCAAGTAGAGAAGGAGAGCAGCATTCAAGCTGTTAAGGAGGAGGTCGGCCATGCTGAAGACCGCACCAAGAAGGCAGAATCTAACAGGGAGAAGGCTCTTTATGAGCTGAACTCCTTGAAGGATAGGGTCGCAGAGGCCGACCAGCACATCACTGGCGTTGAGGCATCTTTGGAGCAAAGTAAAAAGCACCACTAGCACGCTATCTACTTTGCTCGGGCACAAGGAGCTGAGTGGCTGGTTGGAGCAAGAGATGGACGAACAAGGAAAGAGCCTCGCCCCTCCAGTTGACACTTGGGTGAGGCTGAAATGGGAGCTCAACGAAGAGGGGTTACTAGTGTGGCCCCCTTTTGTTGTTAAAAAGGGGGAGGATACCGAGGGGTTGCCAAGCTTTGATGCTTGGATGGCAGACCCTTAGGAGGTACCTGTTGAGCCTTCCAGCACTCCCCCATCCTCTCAGCCCGACCCTGCTCCTGCTCTCTCTCCTCCGTATCAGTCATCTCCTGCTCGATCTACTACTACACGTGTTGACGCGTCCATCCCTGTCGACCTGACGAATGATTAGCTTAAGATTTTCTTTGTTTCTTTTGTATTTCTTTTGTGTTTTTGTATTTGTCAGTGAACCAATTCATCATGTACTTCAAATGTAAAGAACATTGATGGAAATACAAATTTGAAAATTTTCCTTTGAAATTTATGTATTTATTGTTGTATACATTCTTTACATCGTCATGTGCAGTTTATTGATAAGATAATAATATACATGTTAACTGTAAAACTTTTTAAGGTTATGTATGTTCCATATGAATGGTAACTGACGACCTTGTAGATCTGCTAACTGGTAAGACCCAGGTCGCTTAACACAACTAACCATATAAGGACCTTCCTAGTTCGGAGCGAGTTTTCCCATATGTGAGTAAGTGTTAGTGAGCCCAGCCTTGCGTAAAACCAGATCGCCAATTTGAAATTGACGAGTTCGGACTCTCTTATTATAAAATCTAGCAACATGACTTTGATGTGCTATGTTTCTTATTCGAGACATCTCCCTAACCTCTTCTACAGGGTCTAGGTTCTCTCTTAGAAGTTGCTCATTACTAGGATCATTGTGCTGATCTGATCTGTCGAATGGCAATCCAATCTCTACAGGGATAACGGCCTCAGCTCCATAGGCGAGGCTAAATGGGGTTTCGCCTGTAGCCGAACTGGGTGTAGTGCGACATGACTAGAGCACTTTATTGAGCTCGTCAACACAATTAGAGTGTGTAGTTAAAACATGCATCTTGAGGCCTCGCAAGATGATTTTATTGGCAGACTCGGCTTGCCTATTTGACTGTGGAGTATATACAGACGTCAAGGCGAGCTCAATGCCATAATCGTTGCAGAACATCCTAAGTGCTACGGCTCGGAACTGTGGACCATTGTCAGTGATGATCCGTTTAGGTATGCTGAACCTACACACAAATGACTGAGCTGAGCCACAAATTACGTTTGTATACAATGCACAAATGGCTTAAGCCACCAAAGAGTACCTGCATAATATTGAGTTGAACAGGAATTCCTCTATTTTCTTCTCTGTTGTCGTTGATAATGGTTTGGCTTCTATCCATTTGGTGAAGTAATCTACCGCGACAACTAGGTATGTGCAACCTCCTCTGCTTTTAACAAAAGGATCGAGTAGATCGAGTCCCTATAGAGGAAAAGGCTAGGGTGATGAGAGTGATGATAGCATTTCTCTTGCTTTAACGGAGATATTTATGTTTAGTTTATAGACAAACGTGAGATTTGCACGAACTTTAGAACGAGATCAGATACTTGGCATGTGAATGTCATCAGTATTGAACTGGCAGGTCGGGCACTTTTTGACATAACTCTGTGCGTCCTCGACCATAGTAGGCCAGTAATACCCATGTCTTAGGAGTTTCCGAGCCAATGTTTTACCACCTGTATGTGTGACACATACTCCTTCATGAACTTCCCTTACAGCGTATTAAGCTTCATAAGGAGTAAGGCAACGTAGTAGGGGCATTAAGGCTGCTCGTTTGTAGAGCTGATTATCTATTAGGGTGAAGTGTGCCGCCCTACGTTTAATCAACTTTGAGGTGGATGGGTCTTCAGGTAGCTCGCCACTTTGCAAATACTCAACGAGGGGTGTAGTCCAGCTCGGCAAAGAGGGATCTGTGCTTACCAATTGACACTCGATTATGAAGTCAGTGTAGCTCGGTGCATCAAGTACCTCCACAATTGTTGATCTCTGAGAATTGATATCTTACGAGGAAGCTAATTTTGATAGCTCGTTAGCTCGTTGGTTATCTACCTTGGGTATCTTACTGATCTGGAAAGAGATAAATCCTGCTTTCAATCTGTTGACTACAAAAAAATAAGGTTAAAACCCTTTTTGGTCCCTGAACTATTGTACGGACCCCCGATTTGGTCTCTGAACTAAAAAAATCCCTGATTTGGTCCCTACTGTTTACCATTTTTACCCCAATTTGGTCATTTCGTCAAATATCAACCTACGTGTCTCGTTACTTGACGAGGAAAACGATGACATGTAAAAACATTTTGACACCTAGGATGTACAGTGTGACAAAAAAATGAGATGGCAAGACAAAAATCTTAAAAAATTTCTTATTCCTTTTTTTTTTCTTCGTTTGTTTTTCCTTTTCCTTTAACCTTCTGCAAATCCTAACTCCTAACATTAACTTCGAGGATAACACAACAAATCAACAGATTAAACTCAATAGATATTTGACCCAACGGCTGCTGGGTTCGAAACGAAACCCAGAGCTTCACTTGCAAGAACTCAGCGGCTGTTCAAACCCACCGCCTGCTGGGTTTGATTTCGAACCCAGCACTTACAAACGAACCTAGAACCTGCAAAATCCTAGCATTCGAAATTGAAAAATCAAACCCAGCATCGAACCCAACACCTACAATAACCCAGCAACTGCCTTGCCTTGCCTTCTTCATCTTCATCAATCAATTTTTCATCACAATCAAACAACAACATCCAAAAAATAAAAACATAATTTTTTTTTAAAAAAATTTTTTGCACCTGGGTTCACAAGGAACCCAAGCGTGCTGGGTTAGACACCCACTCAGAGTATTCAACTCTCCTGATGAAGCCTGCCTGTAGTAACTTTTGTATTTCTTCATCTATAGCAGCTTGCTTCTTAGGACCAAAAAGGCGACGTTTTTGAACCACCGGCCTTCTGGTGGGGTCCGTGTTGAGCTTGTGGACTGCCAACTCTGTTGGAATGCCAGGCATTTCATCCGTCATCCACGCAAACACATCTTGATTAACCTTTAAAAACTCCAAAAGTTCAGCTCATTCTTTCTCTGTGAGCTTTGTGCCAACCTTAACTGTTCTTTACGACATGTTAGGGTTCAAAGGGACTACTTCCACTGGTTCTATTGGCTCAGCCTTTTGCTCGACACCCTGAGGTCGGTGCTCAATATCTGATATGGTCATTGTTTGTAGGAACCCAGACGCGAACCTAGCACACTTGGGTTCCTTGCGAACCCAGCACGCTTGGGTTCCTTGTGAACCCAGGCGTTGGGTTCGAAAGGAACCAAACCCAAGCGTGTTGGGTTCTACCAAACCTAGGCATGCTGGGTTCGGTGCGAACCCAGACGCGAACCCAGCGCCTGGGTGGGTTCGAAGGAACCCAAGCCTGCTGTGTTCCAAGGGGAAAGAAAAGAGAAAAGGGAAGGAGAAAGAGAAAGGGAAAGGGGAAGGAGAAAGAAAAAAGAAAAAAAGAAAAAGGAACAAAAATTTTAAGTTTTATTTTTCATAATATTTTTTTATATTATTATTTTTTCCACATCATCACTTTTTGGTTATATTATCTTCCACGTGGATTACTGTATGACATGTCATCTGGTAACCGTGAAGTAACAGGCCACGTCACACAATTTTTAACGGAAGGACCAAATCGGGGTAAAAATGGTAAATAGTATGGACTAAATCAAGGATTTTTTTAGTTCAAGAACCAAATTGGGGGTCCATACAATAGTTCAAGGACCAAAAAAAGGTTTTAGCCAAAGTATAATGACCAAGCTGAGGATCCCTGATTTCACAGCTCCCATTCACTTGACTCACAACGAGCTGAGAATCGCTGAAAATCCTTATGCTTTGAACTTTCAACTCGGACGCCAGCTTTAAACCATAAATAAGGGCTTCGTACTCTGTAGCATTATTTTTTGTTTGAAATTTGAACCTTAATGCGTGCTCGGATTTAAAGCCATTTGGGCCCACTAGCACTGCCCCAGCACTTGATCCTTCAATATTGCAACTCCATCTACATATAAAACCTAGATTGGGTATATGGGCGCCCTTTCTTCCACAGTCGTCGAAAGGCACTCCACTAGGTAGTCCGTCACAGCCTACCCTTTAATGGTTGTGTGCGGCTGAAATTTGAGGTCGTACTCGCTTAGCTCGACAGTCCACCCAATAAGCCGACTAGAGAGTTCAGATTTCTGTAGTATCTTCCTCAACGATAAATCGATATAGATAACAATTTTGTGTGACTGAAAGTATGCTCTCAATTTGCGAGCCGTGTAGGCAAGGGCAAAAGCAGCTTTTTCTGCTAGTGGGTAATTTTGCTTCGTGCCCTATAAAACCTTACTCACGTAGCAGATGGGCTTCTAATGTTTATTCTGTTCTTTGAGCAAAACCAAGCTCACGACCTCCTCTGTAACCCCTAGATATAGGTATAAACTCTCCCCCTCCACAGGCTTTGAAAGCAGAGGTGCTGACGCCAGATATTGCTTGAGCTCATCGAATGCCTGCTGACATTCGTCGGTCCATTGAAAGTTCTTGAGCTCTCTCAAGGCCTTAAAGAATGGGAGGCATCTTTCTGCCGACTTGACTATGAATCTGTGCAACGCAGCAACACGACCTGTCAGAAGGTGCACATCTTTTATGGTCTTGGAAAGCTCCATCTGTTGAACGGCCTGAACCTTCTCTGGATTTACCTCAATTCTCTTCTTGGATACCACGTACCCTAGGGATTTTCCTGATTCTACAACAAACGTGCATTTCAGGGGATTTAGCTTCATTTGGGCTCGTCGCAAGTTCTGAAATGTTTCATTTAGGTCGTCTATATGATCTTCAGCTCGCTTACTGGTGACTATCATGTTGTCCACATATACTTCAATGTTCCTGCCGATCTGGAGCTTGAAGATGACCTGCACCAGCTTTTGATATGTCACGCCAGCATTTTTCAAGCCAAATGGCATCATGACATAGCAGTAGATTGCGTCACCAGCATAGAAAGCCGTTTTCTTTTGGTCATCCAACAGCAACTGAACCTGGTGATAACCCGAGCTGGCATCAAAGAAACTCATGCGTTAGTGTCCGGCTGCTCGCTCTACCAACTTCTCAACATTTGGTAAGGGGTGAGGGTCTTTTGGACACGTCTTATTTAAGTTAGTGAAATCAATACACATTCTCCACTTGCCGTTTGGTTTCTTGACAAGCACAGGGTTAGACACCCACATAGAGTATTCAACTCTCTTGATGAAGCCTGCCTGTAATAGCTTTTGTATTTCTTCATCTATAGCAGCTTGCTTCTCAGGACCAAAAAGGCGATGTTTTTGAACCATCGGCCTTCTGGTGGGGTCCGTGCTGAGCTTGTGGACTGCCAACTCTGTTGGAATGCCAGGCATTTCATCCGTCGTCCACGCAAACACATCTTGATTAACCTTTAAAAACTCCAGAAGTTCAGCTCGTTCTTTCGCTGTGAGCTTTGTGCCAACCTTAACTGTTCTTTCCGACATGTTAGGGTTCAAAGGGACTACTTCCACTGGTTCTATTGGCTCAGCCTTTTGCTTGACACCCTGAGGTCGGTGCTCAATATCTGATATGCTCATTGTCTGCTGACTGAGCTAGGTTGGCCTATGAATTTCAGAAGGGCCTACCGGGGCTGTAACAAGCTCAACCTTCTTGAATGTATCTTGATAGCAGGCTCTGGTCATCTTCTGGTTCCCCTTTAAGCACTCCTACCCCCTGAGGAGTTGGGAACTTCATACAGAGATGAGGTTGCGAGATGACAGCCTGCGAGATGACAGCCTGCGAGATGACAGCCTTCAGCTCGCATAGGGTGGCTCTTCCTAGTATGGCATTGAAAGTCGATTCCATTTTGACTACCAAAAAGCTAACTGAAGCCATCCTTAAGTGTAGTTCAAAGCCCACATAGATGGGAAGAGTAATTACTTCTTCAACCGGGACAGGTTGATTATCGAACCCATATATGGGCCCTTCATACTTCTGCAGCGAGTTCGGATTCAACTGCATCTTCTGAAAGCAGCTCCAATACAGGATATCTGGTGAACTACCAGTATCGATAGAGACCTTATTGACGTTATGATTGCCTATATGGATCGCTGCCACAAAAGGATCTACATGAGGCATCATAACGTCAGGCTCTTCTTCCGTTTGCTTATAATCTGCTGAGCTGAATGTAATGGTCGCATTCTCCCATTTCGCCTCCTCGAATGGCCGCTTCAAGGGCTTGTTTTTATTAACGATCATCACTTGACAAGCATATGCCTTACGGCCCCGAGCGCTTTGGCCTCCTGAGTGTATACCACCCGAGATCATGTTTATTGTGCCAGAGGGTGGGGGGATCCCAACATAGCCTACCCCTTTTCTATCTTTTTGGTTCTGCGTGGCAATTCTCTGTCCTTGACCTCACCTATTGAACTAACGTCCCTTGTACGCTCTGCCTTGCTCGGAAGGATATTGGTTATCCTAATACACATCCTGGCTGTTGCCGAGCTGATACCTTTGCCCTTGAGGCTGGTCATACCCCTGCACAAAGTGAGTTTGAGTTGGCTGCTGGGCATAAGGTTTCTAGACATATCCTTCTAATTTCCCATTGCGAGCTAAGAATCCCAGCTCGTCCTTCAAGTGTTGACAGTCTTTTGTATTGTGGCCGTATGCACGATGGTAGTCACAATGTTTGCTTTTGTCTGCTCTTGGGGGATCAGGCAATGGGGGAGGTGGTCTCCTGATCCAGTGTTGGATTTGTGCCAAGATTTGAGACCTTGGCGAGGTCAAAGGAATGTAGTTGGCATACTTTGGGAAGTCGGATGGCTTTCCCCACTGCTCGCTAACTTTTTGCTTTTTCCTTTCTTCTCTTCGTTGTGGTTGTTCATGGCTTTTGCTTTGTCTATCATCAGCTCGTTGCTTGGACGACTGGAAGTCTTCTGATAGTATGAAGCTAGCTGACCTGTCATTTACTTCGTTCCACATCTTTGGTGGGTTTTCTAGTAGGTTGTCCAAAAATCAGCCAGGTTTGAGGCCATGCAACAAAGCAGACAAGCTGATGGTATCAAGGACATTATCAATGTCTAGAGTGGACTTGTTGAACCGTTGCATATAGTCCCTTAGAGACTCTCCCTCCTTCTGATGAACTTGCAACAGCTCAGTAGCGATGTGCTTAATTTCTCTTTGACTCGCGAACTTATTTGAAAACAAAGTGGCTAGTTTAGAATATGAGGCTATGGAATGTCTAGGTAACTTGTGGTACCATCTTCTAGCCGTTGATTTCAACATTGCAGGGAAGACTTTGCACATCATGGCGTTAGTGGCGTTCTGGATCCTCATGATGGCTTGATAAGTATGCAGATGTTCATCTGGATCTCCTGAGCCATCATATGTCTCCAAATGAGGAATTTTAAATCCCTCTTGATATAATTCAACCGTGATGGACAAGTTGAGAGGGGCACTATCCAAGTTGAGAGCCTTCTGGCGCGACTTGGGACTCCTTAGCTTGTCAATAGACTTCTGCACGTCTTTGAGATGTCTCTCAAGGTCAGTGTTCTTCTTTAGTAATTCTTCATTATGCTTGGACAAGCTAGGTTCTGGGTTCAACTTCCCACTTCCTCTTGGTCTGGTTGGGACCACTACATTGCTTAGGGCTAGGGAGTTACAAGTTGCAACTACTGTAGCCGGTTGCTCGCCCCTATTCAGTAGGGGAATCAAGGGGTCATCGGGGATCAAGCGAGAGAGAATTTTTCCCATGGCCATCTCCAAAACTCTTGTTCTTTCTTCTAGCTCGGACGTTCGAGCAGATTCTATAGGTCTCTCCACAGGTCGTGTAGTATTATGCTTAGAATGCCTTCGTCTGGCTTCAGATGGGATGTGAAATTGTTCTTCAAGTTGGGTTGCATACCCTATAGGTGTTCTTTCATCATCATCTGAAGTGTTTGATTGTTCTTATTTTGCACCGCCAACGAAGAGGTTTCTCGGAAGCGTTTGGAAGTCATTGAGATCACTTTCCCACACCTGAGTGTTATCCTGGTCGTCCACATTCCCTCTTGGGGGTGGTTTCCTGTGAAGGTGCGCACTATTTTCAGCTCGTGCTGGTTAAGTCACAATGCTTTTTGTTCAGTTTCCCACAGACGGCGCTAAATGTTTGGGCAACTTCGTGATCCAACACTGTTGATATCTTCAGTTGCTTCTACACTTGAAATTTCGGAGGATGTTTCTTCAGGGAAAACACTCTGACGCTCAAGTTAACAATACTCAATATTCTAGAGAGAGATGCTCTCAAAGAGTAATTGTAGAAAGAGAAGCGTAGAAGTTAATACCTTGCATGGAGGTAGTTGGGGGGTATTTATAGCCCCATATACTGACATGAGTTCAAACATGTGTTCATCCAATTGGTCCACGTGTTACTGCCCACATAGGTGTGTCTCCTCATCTTGGGCCTGCTGCATGTGGCATAATCCCAACAGTAATGGTTCCTTGAATTCCTTCTTGTTTTTCTACTGTAATTTATCTTCAATGCCCTCAAGCGCAAGTCAACAGTGGGTTTGTAAATGTGGATTTCAAGGCAATCCTTATCTACCTCATGGATGTCACGGTGAACTTCTATCTCCACTTTTTCTCTAGTTATACCTGTGTGTCTCGTTTCTTTTATTTATAATATTTATTATTTTTCAACAATCATCTATCAACTGACTTTTGTTTGAAAAACATTAAACATAATATGAAAAAAAAAAGGTTTTGGTGCTTGATAAGTTTTTTTAAGAAAACATGGATATTTATTCGGCCTTTTGATCTTGGTTAGTTTTACACGAACCTGCAATAAAACCAATGTTTTGAAGTCTGACTCGATGGTCGACTTGTTTTGGTCACCAAATCTGATTCAACCAACTAGATTAGTTTAATTGACTAAGTCAATTGATCAAGTTAATAAATATCATTTAATTCATTTTATTAATTATAAATTATTTTTACTTTAATTAGTTTTATTTTTAAAATTAATTGAAATCATTTTTATATTTATTGATCAAAATAACTATTAATTTTTAAGATTTTATTTTCAAATTTCATTAATTTAAAATTAATTTTATTCATTAAATTTATTAAAAAACATAATATATTTTTCTTTAATAGGCATATAAACATTGATATCATATTAATTATAAATTTATTTTTTCCTTGTAATGATTTGTCAAAATTGCTTGAGATTAATTTTAATTTGAATTAGTTTTAATTTTAAAAAGATTTAATTCATTTTATTATCTAAAGTAATAATTGATTTAATTTCTACAATTACTTAAGATTAGTTTTAATTTTAAATTTATTTCATTCATTTTATTATATAAAGTAGTCATTTATTTTATTTTTAAAATTGAATTGATTTGATTCTAATTAAAATCACTCTCTAATTTGAAATAATAATTTAATTTCAAATTACATTTAAACTAATTTAAAAATTTTTATTCATTAGTTGTGATTAGATTTTAAATAAATTTTACTTCTTTTTTTTTTTTTTTTGTGGAAATGGAGATTTATATGTAGTAGTTCAGAGTAATATACATTATTTACGAAGACCATCCTCTACAAGTAACGAGAGCAATACATTAGGAGGTCTATGTGCCCAAAAAAAGGGTCATTTCCCTTTAAGTGATTGTTTGGGTACCCAATCTGCAACCCTGTTACCTTCTCGTGAAACAAAGGAGAACAAGAAGTCTGGGTGACGGTGAGAAATTTGTCTAATGGACAAAATGATTGGCTGAATTTCCCATGGGGGTGGTTTGTCAGTTTGCTGGAGGTATGAAATTAATGCTTGGTTGTTAAAATTCAAAGAACACAATTTTGAGTGCCCATGCTTTCCACAAGTTGAGCAGCCTTTTTCAAAGCAACAGCCTCTGCCATAAGTGGTGACAGCGCCATAGAGAGCAAGGTTTTTCCAAAGCATATTTCACCTTTAAAGTTGCGACCAACCATGGCTAAAGCTGCAGATCCTGTTTTGGATGAGTTAGAGGCATCAACGTTGACCTTGAAGACGCCTTTTGAAGGTTTGACCCAAGAGGAGTGTTGTTGTTTTCCATTAGCTCGTGACCTTGAAGGGAAAAACAGTGAGTGTTGATTCATGGAAGAAGAGTATTCTTGGGTCATAACAGAAATACGAGCAAGGATTTGGTGGGGATTTAAATCAACTTGTTCAAAGAGTTTCTCATTTCTTGCCTTCCATATATGCCAGCAGATTATTGCACATTGTTCTATCACAGATGGTATACCCATTTGCTTTGCAATACCATTGATATATCTCCACCATTCACTAAAACAACTTGCCCCCAGTTGCCTAGGGTCAAGACCCAGGGTTAAACCAAACCAAATTGGTTCTACATGAGGGCAGTATAATAGTAGGTGCATTAATGTTTCATCAGCCATATGACAATTAGGGCATGTTATCTCTTGTGATACTCCCCTTTTAGCCAAATTATCTAAAGAAGGCAATGAGTTAAGTGTGGCTCTCCACAAGAAAACTCGAACCTTTGGGGGAGCTTTTAGTTTCCATAAATGTGTCTATTTAATAGTGGTCAGGTTCCCATTGGTAACATGAATTGCTGGTTCATGGGTAGCATTAAGTGCGAGCAAATGAGCACTTTTAACAGAAAATTTACCATATTTATCATGATGCCACACAAGAGAATCAGAGCAAGTTCCAATAGGGATTTTAAGAATTTCCCTACATTCTTGATTACTAAAGCTTGCATTTAACTTTGTAACATCCCAATCTCCCCTATCATCAAGCAATTCACAGACATAAGAAAACATTGAGTGAGTTTCAGAAAGAGAGGTCACCTTAAAACTAGGCAAAGTGGGAACCCAATTGTCTTGGTAAATCAGAATGTTTTGACCATTCCCAACATTCCATCTAATTTTGAGTTGAACGATGTGTCTTCCTTTTAAAATGCTTGACCATGCCCAAGAGTGATGACTACCTTTTCTAGCCTGCAAAAAAGAGGAATCTGGGAAGTATAAACTTTTTAAGACACGGACCCATAAGGCATTAGGATTTTGCAATAATCTCCAAGCCTGTCAGGCTAACATTGCAAGATTAAAGCAATAAAGATCTTTGAAGCCCATACCTCCATCATGCTTGCTTTTTGATAGTTGATTCCAACTCACCTAGCATAATTTCCTTTCATCAGCCTATTTTCCCCACCAAAAATCCCTGCTGATTTGGTTGATGTCTTAACATACTCCTGTAGGGAATAAGAAACAAGACATAGTGAAAGTGGGAATAGCCATAGCTACTGCTTTAATTAGAATTTCCCATCCATGTTGTGATAGTAGACTCTTTTTCCAATGGGTGAGTTTCTTTTGTATTTTATTGATAACATATTTTAAACTGTCCTGTTTGGATCTTCCCCAAGTAGTTGGAACACCAAGGTACTTAGAGAAGGCTGATTCGATTTGGATGGCAAGTCGATTTCAAAGTAAATGCCGTACCTCATAGGGAGTATTTAAGCTAAAAATTGCTGCGGATTTTGAGAGGTTAACTCTCTGTCTTGAGACATCTCCATAAACTTGTAGAATGGCTTGTAATTGACACACTTCCTCCACTGAAGCTCGACAGAAAATTAAGGAGTCATCCGCAAAGAGAACATGGCTAATGATAGGGCTTCGCCTTCTGATTTTGTAACCAGTAATTTTCTTCCTAAAGGTTGTTGTCAATAATAGTTGAGATAAAATGTCAACAATGAAAAGATATAAGTATGGGGATAAAAGGTCTCCCTGTTGGAGTCCTCATCAGGGATTGAAAAAAGGAGTATGGTTACCATTGATTCCCACTGTATATGACGCAATTGAGACACATTGCATCACCATATGGATCCATTTTTCACAAAACCCATGAGCCTTTAGAACATTTTCCAAGCAATTCCAATCAACACTATCATAAGCTTTCCAAATATCTAATTTTAATGCAATAAAACCATGTTTTCCAATCTTTTTTAGATGTAAACCATGAAAAACTTCATGTGCAATTAGGATGTTGTCTTGAATGGCCCTTCCAGGAACAAAGGCAGACTAAAATGGAGAAATAAGGTCATCAAGGTAAACTTTCAGACAATTAGCTATTATTTTTGCAATAACTTTATAAGAGAAGTTGCATAGAAAGATGGGTCAAAATTGCGTAATCACCTTAGGATTCTTGACTATTAGAATTAGGACTAATTTTGTTTTGTTCACCTCCTTGAGCATGAATCCATTTGCAAAGAAGTGCTGTATAGCCTTGCAAACGTCTGGGCCTACAAGATTCCAATGCTGCTGAAAGAAATATCTTGGAAAACCATCAACTCCTAGGGCTTTAAATGCACCCATTTGGAATACCATAGACCTTACTTCCTCCTAAGATACATTAAGGCATAGATCTTCATTCATTTTTGCAGTCACCGATGGTTTGATAAAGCCCTCAATCTAATCAAAACAACAAGTCTCTTGGGAATTATAGGCCTGTCGAAAGTGGGTATAAGCATGAGCTGTAAATTGAGTTGGTATCCTCTATTAATATGCCTTGTTCATTCTTCAGTTGAAAAATTCAATTGTTCTGTCTTCTTTAAGATGCCATGGCATGAAAATATTTGGAATTTCTATTGCCCAGAAGTATCCAGTTTGTGCAAGCCCTCTGAAACCAATATGCTTCTTCCTACATCCATAGGGAGTTAATTTCATCTATAAGAAGTTGTTGTCGTATCAAGTTTGTTTTTGATTGTTCTTTGAATTACAACTCATCAAGCTCTTTTTGAAGCCTCTCCACCTTTTTGGCAGGAATTTCCTGAGGTTTTTTTTTACTAGTTCATCAAATGTTTTCTATAGTGAGAGTTTCGAGGACATGCAGTAGAAAGGGGAGCCTGGTTGCTCTGTTGCCCAGCCTTGGGTGACAATTTTTTCATAATCACTGCATTGTTGCCATTTAAGCTCATAATGAAATTGTCTCCTGGGGAGCACAGGAATGGCTTTTAAACATAATAAAAGAGGGCAATGATCAGATCCAATTCTAGTGCAGTGAAACAATTGAGCATTAGGAAAGAGTTGACCCCACCAATCATTAATTAAGGCACAATCAAGCCTTTCATATATATTTCCTCTGGACCATGTGTATCTAGCATCTTTGTAAGCAATTTCCCTCAGAAGGTATGAGCTTGTTACTCTTCCAACAGCCTTCGATCCATTGCCAATGGTGGGCATTTTCCTTTTTTATCAAAGCTATGCCCCACTAAATTAAGGTCCCCCATAAGAAGCCAAGGAATCTCTACCGCACGTCTTAGATTCATTACTCTGCTCCACATAGTTCTTCGAAGTTGGACATTTGGTTTTCCCATATCAAAGTAGTCAATACCGTATCGGCATACATACTGGTTTTGTTACTGGAACGGTATGCATCGAATACCAAAATTTTTCGCGTACCATTTTGAATTTATCGCTATAAATATACATTTTTACAAATTAAATATCAACTTTAAAATAATGATAAGTCTTTGGATTCAAATAATTTTTGCCAGAACCCTATTTTCTTTTATTTCAAATAAATCTTTGGATTAAACTTAGTTCTTGAACTATGTACTAATATTTTCAACCAAAACATTTTACTTATTTACTAAATTTATTTATGTATATTAATTTTTTTATTAATTTTTTTCCAGTAGGGCGGGTGGGGGAAAGGGGAGCATATCTTTGTCTCTGCTTATTGAGAAGGTAATGTTAGTGTAGGCTTCATGGCTTCACAGCACTATCACCTGCAAGATGGATTCCACTATTTTGGGACACCAGCTGATGGGATTCGTAATTTTTTGGAGATGGATCCGAAATTCCGAGACTTGCTTCGGTGCACTTGGATTCTAGAGTTTAAAATAGCTCCGGTGCAAAATGGCAACATTGCAATATGAAATTGCAGGGGAACAGAGGAAAGATTGCGCAGATGCTGGAGAATAGAGGAGAGATCACGCAGATATGAAATTGCAGGGTTCAAGCCAAGAAGAAGTTGTCCCTAGCCAAAACGACAAGAAGAAGCTGTCCCTAGCCAAAATGACGTCATTTTGGCTAGGGAATCTTTTTTTTTTTTTTTTTTATAAATTCTTGCATAATGTATCGGTCAAATTTCGATGTACTGGTCAGTACACAAAATTTTGGCCGATACATCAAAATTTGACCAAAATTGTCAGATTTTGACTGAAACAAAATTCTAACTTATTCTATTTCTGTCCACCCAAAAACTAGCACATATTGATCATATCTACTAGTACGATACGGTATAGACTTCCTTGCCCTATATACAAATGAAAAATGCCAAGTAGTGTTATAATCAGCTAAGTAGCCATCAAACATATTTTTATCAGATGAAAAGATTGAGATATGGACTTCTTTCGTCCACCACAAGTTTAGACCCCCTGAATAGCCTTGTGGCTTTACATACATGCCATTAGAAAATAAGAGTCTCCTTCTTAACCACTCCAAGTACCTCCTTTTTTTTTTAAGTTTCTATCAGAAAAACTAAGCAAGGGCGGTATTTAAAGATAAGGTCTTTTAGCGCTCTTTTCGTCAGGGCTTGCCCAAGGCCTTGATAGTTCCAAGAGAGGATGTTCCTATTGGTGAGGGTGGCTTCCAAGGGGCAACTACCGAAGCCCCATAAGTGTATACAGTGTAAAGAAATTGCTCAATTTCTATTGATGGAGAAATAGATGATTTTGTGGAAGTACCTAGAGCATTATTGGTAAGGGGAACCATGGGAACAAAAGGGGGGTCATTGAAGGAGAGCTGCGTTGAATGTAGGGATGTCAACGGGGCCCTGCGAGGCCGAGGAGTCACTCCCCGTCCCTGTCCTCGTCCCCACGAATGGTTAAAACAGGGATACTTGTAGGGATTTTTTACGGCCCATTCCCTGTGGGGAATGGGGATCCCCATTCCCCGCCAATTAATACCAAACTATATATTTTTTGCATTAAACATAAATAAAAATTAATTTAACATAAATAATTAAATTAACAAAAAGGGAAAATTAAAGGTGAGACTGTGAGAGTAAGTGAGGAGAAATTGTAGAAGCAAGAAGGGGAGGGGAAAGTCAAAGGTGAGGTGAGAGTTTGATTGTCCAATCGAAACCGAGAGTGAGTGAGGGGCTGAAGTGAAGGCTGTGGCTGCACTGCTACGTGAGTGGGGAGAAAGGGAAATAATAAAGTTAGGAAATTAGGGTTGGAAGGAGGATGATGGGTTGGATTGGGTAAAATTTAATTTTTATTGAATTAGGTTTGGGTTGGGTTTGGATTTTATTTTAAAGGTTAAATTAAATTTAAAATATACATATTTTTAATTTTTTGCGAGGTGGGCAAAATTCCCTATGAAATTTTGTAGGGAGAAAATTCCCCTCATCCTCACCCTGCTGGGAAGAATATTCTTTCCTACCGGTCCCTGTGATAGGAATTCTCATAGGGTCCTACGAGGATGAGGGGAAATTACCATCCCTAGTCAGATGAAAGTTATGGAGTAGAGAAAATCTGGAGTCCGGCTGAAATCGCAATTGGTGGGAGAGGGCTTTTTGCCGGATTCTTTTCCGAATTTTCTTCACTGTGGTGGTTTCTTACATCCGTGAAGAAGCCTTGCTGATCTTGAATATGGAAATCAGATCTACCAACAGCTAAAGCCTCTTGTAATTGGATTGGGGAGCATTGGGGTCCCGAAGGTTCAGTATCTCTAATACAAGCCTTTTTAAAGATATGCTCAAACAGGCCAGATTCATTTTTACGTTTTTCCTCCATATTTACCGGCCTTTCAAGTGATAATTGGGCCTTTATCTGCTCAGATAATAAAAGGCCCAATTCAACATCCATACTAGCCTTGTCCGAATCAGTTCGGATGGGATTGGCGGGTTGCCATAACCCGGTTGTCGGGTCCGAAATGCTTGAGCTTTCTGGATGCTTGACAGATAAGAGTGCTGCATCACTGGTCGCCATCGCATTTAATGGAGAGGGCTCCTGCATTTGGTTGACGGTGGATGCCAGTGAGGGCTTTGAGCTTCCCATAGGAGGGGTAATTATACCTCTAGAGGAAAGACAACAGTTAATTAAAGCAGTGACCGGCGGAATTGAGGAGGCTGATTCACTGTCACGTGCCCTTCTTCAGCGTTTCCTTCACATGGCTCCCCAGTGCTATCCACGTCAGGTACCCACTTTAATGCTGTGCCTGATGTAGTGTCGGTTTCTGTTTGTCTTGTTTCATGCCAGAGTAGTGTCCTTCTTCCCGGAATTTCAGCATTTTCCGTTTGTCCTGTTTCCCGCCGGAGTTGTGTCCTTTTTGCCGGAATTTCAGCATTTTCCAGGCGGAGTTGCTTGCCATCGTGAATGGACCCAAAGTGCTTCCTCGGGGAGTAATCTGGAGCTCTTATATGTGGGCCATATTGTGGTCTGGGTTGTGAAATGAGCTGCCATCTTCATCTTTCCATCTAAAATCATTGCAGGATTTTGTTGTATGACCCAACATACCAAATCTGTAACAAAAATCCACCAGTTTTTCATATTTAAATTCGGCTGAGCAAGTTTCATCCCCTTGCATTCGGAATTGAAATCCTGATAGTAGGGGAATATGAACATCAATTTAACCCTTAAACGTAGGAAGCTCTCCAAACCTCCCAGAGTTAGATTTGTCCCATGAAATTAAACGGGGAAACAGGGAGCCAATGAGTTGAATATTTTCCAGAGTCATACAGCCTTTGGTAATCCATGAACTTGCACCCAAAAAGCTGAATGTGAAAAAGCAATTTCATCAAATTTCTGTGAATCAGGCCACTCCTTAAGGATGATATGGGAACCTTTCACAAACCATGGAGATTCCATGAAAATACGCTCCTTTTCTTTTTCATCAGACAGGATTAATATAAAGGTGTTCTTGGATTGCTCATGTACTTCCATTCCTCCTTTCGGCCTCCATGCACTTTTCAAAATGCTACACACTACACTTCTAATATTGTCTTCATCTGCTAGTAAATGACCTGCAAAGGAGAATCTCTGAAGCTCATCGTGATCCTGTCCTTTCGTAGCAAGGTGTAGTACTGGGGGATTTGGCCTCACTCGAGGTTCACCACCAGCAGTTAATGACTTATCATTAATCATTTTTCTCACACAGACAAAATTAAGGTGGTAGGTAGAAGTAAATACATTAGCAAGCCCCAATTACAGACCCTGCAATAGTTACCTATTTACAAAGCACATCACTTTTTCAAGCAAGAGAACACCACAACGGACCTGCAGATGCTATGTAGCCCAGAGTATGGGGGAAGCAGAGATGAAAGCCTGAAGGTATCACCTCAGGAGATCAGAGTGGAAACCCTAGAGAGAGAAGCTCCTAGAAACGGTTCCCTCGGAGAATCATCGTTCGTTAAACAAGATGACATCATTGTTTTAGTTTAAATAAATTTTACAATTTAATTATTATATTATTTATTAAATAAATAAATAAATATATAAAAATATAAAATAAATAAATAAGATAAAAATGTTGCACCTGACCTTTTAAGTCAAGTGACTTTTGAGTTATTTTAGAGGTGCAGTCTCTTTCTTCTTGATGAATTCGAAACTCAAATTCGCACTTGCCACTTTGTTAAAAAAAAAAAAGAAGTAAAAATGCTAAAAAAAAAAAATAGAGTTGAATTGGTTGAGTCAACTAATTGACCGAGTTTGGCCAAATTTAATCCAGGCTTGATTGGGTTTGGGTGAATTTTAACTATTTTAATTTTAGACGAGTTATTATCATAATTCAATTCAACTAATCGAACAAACTTCGTCAGGCTGAGTTTTAACACAATGAATAAAACTAACCAAGGTAGCAAGCGTAGCCGTTGGCGATTTTTTTATGCCTACTGTATACATATATATATATATATTTTTCGCTGTATTTTTGTTCGTACTATCTTGCTGATTTTATTTCGCTTTTTCGTCTTAGATACTGGTGAATGCAATGACCCTAGTTCGTGTTTTCCTTTTCTGGACTCAATTTGTGTAAGCAAGATAGGGGGCTACGCTTGCGAACCCAAACGAGGCAAAAAAGCCTGGCCAATAATTTTGGGTTAGCCCCATACTTTTCCACTTTCATTTATTTATTTATTTTTAGCATAATAAATCAATTTTATAATATATTCGAGTGTTAAAAATGGTGTTTTTTAGCCGGGAACTGCACAAAAATGTACCTGTATGGTGCTTGTGTGATTCCGACTCCTCGGTCCGACTCCTCGGCCTTCTACTAATACCCAAGCCCAATAACACAGTTCTCCACACGAGAAGCAGAAGGGCAGTGAAAAAAAATAAAAGGAAGGATATATAAGATTGTCAATTTAAAATTTTTTTATTTAAAAATGTTAATTTTATTAATTTTTAAATAAAAATATTAATTTTTTATTTTTTTATTTAAAAATATTAAATTAATTTTTTATTTAAAAATTAATTAAATAATAATATTATCATGATAAATACATTTTTTAATTAAAGTATTGAAAATTAATATTTTTGTATTAAAAAAATTAAAAATTAACGTTTTCAAATAAAAATAGGTTAAAATTAATATTTTTATTTTAAAACCAAAAAAATTAATATCCTTAAATTAAAAAAAAATTACATAATTTACACCCTTGTTGGCACCATCCCTCTCCAAAAAAAAAAAGGGGATACTTTATGATTCCTCGGCAGAATAACACAATAAAAAATTAAACTTAAACGCATACTTCTCCAGTTCGGTACCTATCCTTTGCATCCTTTGTCTTTAACAGACCTTTCAGAGCATCTAGAGAATAAACTGGCGTCCAGGAATCCAAATAGAATTCCACGCCACTCTAAACCAAGGAACTTGTAATTGCACCAAACCAGAAGTCCTTCTTTAGTCCGCGCTTGCACTTTGGGAAGACCTGCAAAGCCCCGAGGTGGAACTCGGGGTAGACACCCCGATGCTTAAGTCAGCAATAATCGGGGCTACCTTTAGAGTGGAAATAAAAAGAGCTTAGGGTTGGTTTCAATTACCTTTTGACGTGGCCCGAAGGGGGTATTTATAGGATCCAATGAGGAACCCACGTGGCATGCCAAGCAAGATAATCAGAGCCTGACGTGTCTATCCAGACGATTATTTCGGGACCGGGAATTTGAGAGGTATTCAGATGCACGGATGTCCACTATACTTGCTATGCCACTTGTCATAAGGAATCAGGTGCGGGCATGCTTATTGTCATTGTCATGCAGCTATTTGAGCAGGAAGCTTTGGATTCATTTCTCACTTCGGTCATAAAGGAATTACT